CCCCAAAACCCCAAAACCCCAAAACCCCAAAACCCCAAAGAGAAATCTCTATTGAAATTTATCAATATGAAGGACTTAGGTTTATTTTTGCATAATAATTTGGTTAATCATCTCTTCATCTTGGTATCTTATCTCATCTGGGTCTTTGTCATCTCTCTATGTTGAATAGTTAAGCCAAACTCAGGATCAATAGGAAGTATCTGTAACAACCAAATGCTAAATTCCAAACCGAAGTAGTTCCTACTACATATTATCTCTTGGTGCCACACCATTTTGTGAGAGATAAAAAAGACGGCTTACCATTATAATAGCTTTATCAAAATAATTCAGCTTGTTCTTTTTCAAAATTCTTGACTTCTCTCCAAACGCCAGTGCTGATATTTATTAACTAAATTTATACCTGTGTTAGGCTGCTTCAGGTTGTAGTCATAGTTGGGGACATAGTCTGGAGTCCTGAAGATTTCCTTCCTCGGGGAATACTTTTCAATAGAAATATTCGCACTTAGCTTATGAGGCAGGCTAGGCATGAGGGAAGAGGTGTTGAATGAGGAGGAAGGGATTGAAGGGGAGGGGCTGAATTTGGGCAGTTTTGAGTGGGAATGGAGGTTCCATGGCCGAGGTTTGGGGGATTGGGGTATTGAAGGGTGCTTAGACTTGAGTTTGTGCCTGAAAAGGTGGGTTATAGAAGGGATTTTGTGCTTTTGGGAGATTTCAGGGGAGAGAGACCTGAGGTGTTTGGATTTACGGATTTTGCGCATTTTGTTATTAAGAGGTAAGCTAGAGTCTGAGATAGGCATGTATCTTTCTGAAGACACTGGGCTGAAGATCTTCTTCCTGCTCTTTGGGCTTGAGAAGATTAGACGAGGTGGGGTAGTCTTTTCTTCCTTTTCGAAATATATTTTGGATCCATTTTTCTTATCTACGATATCATACTTAGGTCGATAGAAGCCGACAGGAGGGGCTTCTTTCCTTGGAGTAAAGACCTGGCTTCTTTTCTCCCTCGATTGGTTATTTGAATATGAAGCCGACCTTCTCTGTAATTGAGGGCTTGGATACAGGTGAAAAGACAATCTCTGGCGATTTTAGGACTTCTTTTTTTTCAGGTTTATAATCCCTCCTCTGTTTTATATTCCTAGAAATGAAGATTTGAGGTACTTTTCATTAAGTCTTTTAAGTATATCCAAGATATATTGCTTGTTAGTCTTGCCTTTACGAAACAGTTGTTTTAAGTCAGACTCTTCAGTAGGAATAATCTTCTCTTCTTTCTGTAAATTCTTACTCTATACCCAAGATTCATCTCCTTCACCTCCAAAACTCCAAAATTACCTGTGTTCCGTGTATCTTGTCCATTTCGAGACCTATAAATCTCTGTATGTCCAACATCCGTCTACAGGTCATTGACCTCATCTTCGAAGTAAAGACCTGCTTTAACTCCGTTCCTTTCAAACTCTGCTTTAAATTCCCTTCTGTTCCTACTGCATTTCCATATTTATTCCCAAAACCAGTGACTGGCTTGCCTATTTTACACTTTAACTGCCCAAAAATGGTGCAAAAATTGAGAATCTTGAAGAAATTTAGAAGAAAAATAACTTTGAAACAGCTGAAAATCAGAAATTTGTACTGTAAAAATTGGAATTTTAGTATTTTTGACTGGTGAACAGGGGAATTTTAGCGGTAGAGAGGGAATTGAGAGGTGGAAAAGGGATTTATGAGAGGGATTTTGGGGGTTTGGGCTGGATTTGGCTTACCTTTGGAGAAGTGAGAGTGGTCCATATTTTAGAATTTAGGGGGTTATTATAAATAATTATGAGTCCAAATGGGGTTTTGGGGTTTTGGGGTTTTGGGGTTTTGGGG